AATCTCCATTCTCCTCCCTGTTTGCCCAGTTTATAAGCTTAGAGAATTGCCTCTAAACTCCGAGTTTACATGTTTAGAATGAGTCTCAATAACCTTATCTAGACCGAGTTCTTAGTTATTTTTTAAAAAATTAAAAAAAAAAGTCTAATCATGCTAAAATTTCGGGGAGAGAGGACACAATTCTCCCATGTTTCTATGTTTCAAATCTCCCGTTAAAAAGATTTGATTATGTAATAAAGAGAGAATTTGAGACCCAAAAAACAGAGAAAATATTTTGTTCATTTATCTGTGTGAATAAGATTGATGATTTTTTGTCTCAAAACTCATTATCTTTCAATCCCAATTCACTTACCGTCTTTGATCGTGCCCTAAATTTTTTTGCGTCTTGTGATTAATATATAATCCAACAGCTGTAAGTAAATTAAAAATAACAATAATGTTACATTTACTATTTTTTTTAGGTATCATAATTTTTTTATTTATTTTTTTGGGGGATAATTGGGTACACAATTAATATACCGTCTTATGTGTCACATGTAAAACTAAATGTTAGTGGAGTTCATGTGAGACGTATTACACTTACAATTGTGAAAGTACCACATGATATACTATATATATTATAAAATGATAATAAATGTAACATTGCAAAAATTAGAATAGAGTGGAGAAAGGCTAAACAACAGTTAGGAGTATTAAAAATATCAACAATGATTCATCCCCCTTTTCCTTCCACCCCTTGACCCCCTTTCTCTCTCATTGGTTACATTTTCTTTTTCTTTTTCTTTTTTTTCTTGCTCCTCCAATCACCACCCACCACGTGGCAAAGGGGGGTGAGGAGGTGACCCCAAAAGGGGATCCCAAGCATTATTCTAAAAATATATAAAATTTGTATAAAAATATGTAATATTATCTTATGACATATGAAAAGTATATTAAAATTATAAATATTTTGACTTTTTATGATCAACACTGCGATGAAAGAAATTTAAGTAGAAAACATCAACAAAAAATAGTGTGTGGTTGTGATTTATTTCAAGTGTAAGTCCTTTCATATAGTAATTGAATCTAGATAATAGATTACTTTTCAGAATAAAATTTATAAGAAGTTTTTGTAATTTCTATCTTTTTTTGTTCAAAAATGTTAAAAAAAAAAATAAAAAAATTCTACTATATCAGTTTCACATGGTGTAAATCTCACACGCAGGTAATTATATTTGGTTAAAAAAATTTGTATTATTACTTTTTTTTTGTTTTATGATTTTTAAAAAATAACCTTTGACACAGTTATTAGCGTGATTATATATACTGTTTTATGATTTTTAAAAAATAACCTTTGACACAGTTATTAGCGTGATTATATATACATATACAAATAATAGTGAGTAAAGGTAGTGGACAGAGAGAGGATGTCTATTCGTATGATGATGTTATTGAAGTTTGGAATATTATGGAAGAGAGAGAAAAAAAAAGAAGCGAGAAGAAGAAGAAAGAAGAGAAGCAATAGAAAGAAGTAGAAGCAGAAGTAGTAGAAGAAGAAGAAGAACAAGAAGTGAAATGTCGTCACACACACAAACACACAAAGTCACAGGCTTTAATTCCCATCACGTAATTCGATGTATCCTTTTACCTTATATGTGCAAGAGAAAAAAGAAGGGAGTAGAAGCAAGAAAATGATGGGTATACGATATTTGAAAGACTCTCTCTCTCTCTCTCTCTTTGTCTCACTGTTTGTTTTGTTGGGTTGTTGCCATTAAACAACAAAGGGAAAGCTACAAATTTAGTAAATAATAATAAGAAAAAGTGCTTACACTCCTTTGACGTGAAGTGAAACCACCTTCCTCTTCATTTCTTTCTTTCTTTCTTATTTATTTATTTATTTATGATATTTACTTGGCCAAGAAGATGTTGCACTTAATGACCGAACTGCCCTTCAGTCAAAGCTTCACTAGAATTTGAACATGTTTTGTTGTAAAAAAAATTTAAAAAAAAAATTAAAAGTTAGTACTAAAAAAATATTAAAAAAAAATTCCTATAACAAATTTTGGGTAATTAATTTTTTTGATTTTATTTTTGTCTCACAAGTTATAAATGAAAACTGTACCAAATAATCTTGTACAAATTTCTAAAATGAAAAAACTATAAGAAATTTCAATAAGTTGCAGTAAATAGATCATAAATATTAAAAGGTATGAAAAATGATTTTTAGTAGTCTTTTTAGTAGTTTATTTGATTTTGCAAATAAGTTTTTCTTTTTCCTTTTTTTAATTAATTTTTAGACAAAATAATTTCACACTTTTTGGTTTTTTTTTTTGTTATAATTTTTTTTAATATTTTAAAATTTAGTAGGCTAGTATTTTCCTCGATATATATTTTAAGATTTTAAATTCTGAAATTGTTATCCAAGTAAATTGTTGTCAAAAAAGGAGAGAGAAAGATTTCCCAAAAAGACAATAAAAAGAAGGAAAAATTACAAATCAGGTAAATTTTTTAAAAATAATTAAATATATGTGAAAAAGTTTATAAATTTAAAAAGTAATTATTGTTTCTCTAAAAAGAAAGAGGAAGGAGGGAGGGGTGTCACCGTCAATTCACCGCAGCACCATTGGCTGCCGGCAAGCCCTTGTGCGTGATTTTTAAGTGGGTGAGCGCGGGGGATCGAATTCAGGAGAGAGAAGGGAAAGAAGAGAGAGAGAAAGTCACGGGTTTGTCTTGAAAGGCCCTTATTTTTTTCACAGTTCTAGACAGACAGACACATATTCTCTATCTCTCTCTCTCTCTCTCGCTACATTACCGAGGAAGCTTAGGAAATTAAACTAATCATCTATGACAACTGCTATTAACACTGTTTACCCAACCCCCATTTTTATTCACTCTTCTCTCACAAGAATCTTCTGTTTTTCAATTAATTAATTTTACAATTTCATACAACCTTTTCACATTGATGATGTGTACCTAATAAAAAGTTGAGACAGACAATTATATTTATTTATTTTTATTTTTTTAAATTTCGTTGATTCTGTTTAAAAATACACCCAATTGTTACATCATATACAATTTGATATCTGAGAATCAAGCAGTTTTTTTTTTTTTAATATTCTAAAAGTAAAAAAAAAACAATATAAAGAATTGACCTACTTTTCAAATTCTTTAGAAAACTAACCTATTTTTTGAAATCACATTTTAAAAATGCAATTTTGAAATTAAAATTACATTTTCAATATGTAATTTCACCTTGAAATAGCATGTTGAGAAATAACATGTTGAAAATGTAATTTCAAAAAGTGAAGTCCATGTCATCATAAATTGTATTTTCAACATACGATTTTAAGGTGAAATTGCATGTTGAAAATGCAATTTCAATTTAAAATTGTATTTTCAAAATGCGATTTTAAAAATCAGGTTAGTTTTCCAAATAATTTGAAAAGTGAGTCAATTCTCTAAATTATTGTTATTTTTTTTTAGAATATTTTTTTAAAAAAAAACTCGAGAATCAAGACATAATTCATCTCTCTTAAACTTGGGTTTTCAAAAATACGCATAATCATGAATGAATAAAATTCTTAAAACAATTGTTTCACCTCACTACTTTAAATAAAATATACTTTCTTTAACCAATAGACAAATGCTATTACCCAATTTATTTCATCATTTTTTTTTTCACTTCTCATCATATTTAATAAATATTAAAATATTATGCCACATACGAGTTAAATAATTTCAGTAAAATCTTTTCTTAATATATAGCAGTCTCTAACCAATGTAAATAGAAGTTATTTAGCACTTATAGTTCAGGTGGTGATTCAAATAGTTATCGAAAAATTTTAAATATACATAAAATTTATATTAAAAAAATGATAAAAATAATGTGACAATACCATTATTGTTAATAAATTCATTTTCAATGGTAGTTTGTTCGAAAAATGTTTAGGAGCTGTAATAAATTCATCTAATTCACTCTTAATGATGTAGAATGGATCACACTCCTCACTCCTTATCTTTAATCTCTCTCTCTTTAGTCTCTCTCTTTCTTTCATCTCATTAGATGTCGAAATATGAGTGATATATTAGAGGGATGTAGTACCATTCTTGTAGTGAAATGTCCATAATGAAGGACATCATTATGCCTTCGTTTGGCATGCCAAAAAAGTCAATTTTTTGGCTATTTTTGTCACAAAAAGACAAAGGTCTTGTTTGGGATAAATTTAAAAAGTTAAAAAGTTAATAAAAAAAATTAAAAAGTCTATTCTATTCAAGGATAGCTTATGAAGGAAGCCACAAGAGTAAAATTATTATTTTGTCCTTTGAATTCAACTACCCAAAAAAATCAAAAAGTTAAAAGTTAAAAGTCAAAAGGGTAAAATAGTCATTTTGATTTATTACAATATTTTATTATACATTTTTTCGTAAAAAGTTAAAAAGTTATCTCAAATATACATTTTTTTCTATTTTTAACAAAAAATTCAAAAAATGCACTTATATAACATATCCCAAACAATAACAAAATAGGCTAAAGAGTCAACAAGACAAAATGTCATATTTAAACCATAATTATTTTATTTTTTCTCTCACAAAAGTCAAAAAACTTATTTCAAACAAAATTTTTTAGCCCTAGGTTAAAATAGTCAAATAATAAAAAAACCAAAAAATCAATCCATTCCAAACGAACCCTATATATGAATTTTTTATTTATATAGTATGACTCTTAATTATTATTGGTCTAAAGATCAGTCACTTTTACGTAGGTATGTTGGGAGAAAACATGTTAGGTGTCAATTGCAAACAATTTGCAAATTGAAATTTATTCAGAAAATACAAAACGCATTTGAAATAAAATTGATTTTATTTATTTATGAGAATAATTATAAATAAGTTTTGATTATAAATGAAAAGATGACATAAATTCACGCAATTAGTACAAAAATGCTATTTATATATGATTACACAATCACCTAATAATTTTCATATAAGGAGAGGGCTTTGTTTGTTTCTTTTCATTTTTATCACTACTTCCACCTCTCCACTCACTACTCACTCACTCTCTCTCTCTCTCTCTCTCTAAAACAAAGAAGAAGAAGAAGAAGAAGAAGGAGAAGAAGTAGAAGAAAAAGAAAAGGATAGTGGTTTGTTTGGTTGAGCAATGGCTCTGATGCTGGACAACTGTGAAGGCATATTACTTTCTCTGGACTCTCACAAATCAGTCCCAGCACCATTCCTAACCAAAACTTACCAGCTGGTCGATGACCCAACAACCGACCACATCGTCTCTTGGGGCGAAGACGACGCCACTTTCGTGGTCTGGCGTCCCCCCGAGTTCGCCCGCGACCTCCTCCCCAACTACTTCAAGCACAACAATTTCTCCAGCTTCGTGCGCCAACTCAACACCTACGTACTCTCTCTACTCCCTTCACGCTCCCTCTCTCTAATATCAATTGATACTATGTCAATTAGTATCAACTCATATTAGAATTGATAGTTACAAAATATTGATAAATATCTATCAATATTTGAAACTATGATATAAATATTTTTTTTGATCGACAACAAAGAACCCTTTATTGATGATGGAGAACCAACTATGATATGTATATTGATTTCCTTTTTTTTTTTTCCTTCAAAATTTTAGGGTTTTAGAAAGATTGTACCAGACAGATGGGAGTTTGCCAATGAGTTCTTCAAAAAGGGAGAAAAGCATCTTCTCTGCGAGATCCACCGGAGAAAAACCTCTCAGCCACCGCAAGTCGCCTTCAACCACCATTTAAACCATCCTCATTCTCCCATGGGCGGGCCGGGTTTCTGTCCCCTACCCAACCCGAGTCAGCATCTCGCCGCCCGACTCCGACGACCAGGCCAATTGGTGTGATTCTCCGCCGCCGACGGCAAGGACTGGTTTCTCCGCCGTCGCTGGCGGTGGTTGCGGCGGCTATAACAACAACAACTCGGTGGCAGCGCTTTCGGAGGATAACCAGAGACTCCGGCGGAGCAATAGCATCCTGGTGTCTGAGCTTGCCCACATGAGGAAGCTATACAATGACATTATATACTTTGTTCAGAACCATGTGAAGCCTGTTGCTCCAAGTAATGCTTTCTTTAACTCATCATCATCATCACCATCCTGTGCTACTCCTATCAATGCTTCAATGGTGCAACAAAAACCTCTGAACCATCTCATTGGGTACCATCAATCCAGCCCTAAACAAGCTCCTCAGTTTCAAGCAATGGGTTCATTCAACTCTACTAATACTAACTCTCCATCACACAGTTCTTTGACGATGCTTGAAAACCCAGATGGTAACAGTACTCGAACGAAGCTTTTTGGGGTGCCATTACAGTCCAGAAAGAGATTGCACCCAGAATACTCTTCTTCTATAGAGACCAACAAGGCTCGATTGGTGTTGGAAAAGGATGATTTAGGGTTGAATCTCATGCCTCCTTCCCCATGTTAGCATTTCTTGGGTTTTTTTGTTTTAGTTCTTTTTAATTGATTTTTAGTCCTCTTGTGTTCTGATTTTCTTGTTTTATGTTTCTGAGAGTTTGAAATTGTTATGAATGTGTGTGTGTGAGTGAGTGCGTGTGTGGATGTTTGTGAGTCTGTGTAATGTATATATGAGTTCAGTGCCGGTATTATCTTGTTCTTCCAGAGCCTTGAATGCAGGTGGGTTTTGGTTAGAATGATGAAGATCAAAAAGCAAGTTATTAATGGTTACAATCATCTTTTTAGTTCAACTCTTTTTCAATGGTGCAATTTTTTCCTTCATCTCCTTCTTGCTTTCATGTCTGAATGTTTCAGTTACATTAATTAGTCTAGAGAGAGAGAGAGAGAGAGAGGGAGAGGGAGAGAGAGAGAGAAGGTTTTCTTTTCAGATCTCCAAAAGGCTACAAACACAAAAACCCGATACATATTCTATACAAACCTTCTAAATTGATATGGTTTTTTAAAAATGAATCTTATTATCAAACCTTATAAAATTTAGCTATTTAAGTTTATTATTTGATCGGTTCTGTAATCAGATTATGTGTTCATAACAGAACTGTTCAGATCTCTCATGGGAAAAGCTGAGAAAGGTTTCAGGCAGCTGGTCCAATGGCAGATTTCTCTGGGGCTTTTGCCTTCGCTGATACAGCTATTAATGGTTGAACCGTACAGCTATACGACATAGAAGATACTTCTCTCAAAAATCTGAATGATATGAAGAAGAAAAATATTTGAACATAAATGATAAAAGTAGCTGACAGAAAATGATAATTTGTTTTTCAAAAATCTAGTATTAGTAATTATATGGCAATTATCACTACTACAATTATCAAGAAGAAAGTATACTATGATTTTGAAAAGAAGGCCATCATTTCTTCTGATTAAGGTGTTGATCTCCATTTTTCGTTTATTTAAACAGTTTGTCACGCAAAATCAGGGAAGCAACGCTGAGATGAGTACCCACATATATGTATATTAATGGTGGATTTAAATGAATACATTTGCAATTTTATATTTAATTTTTTTTATCTTTTTATAAATTTAAAAAACGGTTTAGTAGTTTTGAGATTAAAAAAAAAAAAACATTTACTAGTAGTTTTGGATAACTTAGTGAATAAGAAAAAATCTGTGCAAATTATTAGATGTGAAAGACATTATTAAAAAAATTGAGAAAACTATTTACACTAAATAAAATGTAATCTTTATAAAATAGAAAAAATAGCAAGTTTAGAAAGGCAAAAATCAAATACAAATTAAACAAAAAAAAATTACACTGACGAACATAATTTTATAAAAAAATTTAGTGCATTCACCTTTTGACGGTTACATTTATCAATATATTTTTGTGTTGGTTTCATGTTTAATATTTAAAATGATCATATTTTTATAAAAATGTTAATTATAAAAAAAATATCATTAATTTACACTTTATTAATTAATATCACTATTAGGAAAACTATCAATGAAAGCGAAATATACAAGAACTGACTAAAAATGCGAGTTGAAACGTTTCTATCAGGGCTTCTATACTTCTTCTGAGGACCAGAAAACCTTTGCCTTTTCCTACTTTAAGTATCTGATCGAAGTCTTTAAAACTCTCTTTGGATCCCCCCCCCCCCCCCCTTCTCTCTCTCTCTCTCTCTCTCTCTCTCTCTCGCACACACACACACACACAAACACACACAAAACTCCAAAATCAAATATAGTGACTGATGAATGTGAGAGAGAGACACTCCTTGACTGGTAGAAATATAAATATATATATATATATATTTACCCACGATATAAGTCTATGAACTCAAGAAAAAAAATAAAATAAAAATTTGACTCACAATTTTACGTTTACTTGTAAATGTAGTTTTAATTTTTTTTTATTGTGAGACCACTTCATAAATTAATATTAACTTTTGATTTTTGATTTTGGGTGTTTTCTGATTTATTTTTTGGAATTTTTACACATATTAATGTGTATATATATATATATGTGTGTGTGTGTGTATGTATGTATGAATGTATGTAAGTATGATGGATCCAAAGTAACTTTGCCAAAAATCCCTCCTCTTTTATTGCTTTGCTTGTTCCTTTGCCCAATATCACCCTACAAGTAAAGTCTCACTATAAAGTTTGACTAAGCATTTCTACTAGCTTTTGCTTTCTTGACCTTTGTTGTTTATGTATTTTGATGTTGCCATTAAATTGTAAAACAGAGAAATTCAGTATGACACATGTGGAAAAAGAGAAGAAAAAAGAGGGGGGGAGATGAAGAAAGAGCTACCATTAAATCTAGAGAGAGAGAAGGAATATAAGATTGGACAACACATAAAAACCTAAACCCTGGTTTTGACAATCCTACCCCTCGTAAAATATTTAATTATTTCTTACTTTTTTTCCACAAGTTCGAATCTTTGTCTTCCTTAGTATGACATTACGCAATAGGACAAATTACATCCACAATCCTATTATTTGGCTCATATATTTATGTGATCTTTATAGTTTTAATTATATTAATTTTATATTTAAAATTTTATGTTAATTTAATTTAATTGATAACATCATTTTAGAAATTACACAAAAGGTAAGAAATAAAATAGTTAATTCACTCTATTCAAAATGATTTGAATGGTTAGAATTGAATTTTGAAATTTTTATTCCCTTTTGAAATGATCATTTTGTTCTTGATTTTTATTTAATTTGTTATAAAATATTATTAATTAAACTAAATTAACACAAAGCAAAATATTAAAACAAACTAAATTGACACTAGAGAAACATATTAAAGGGACTAATTTGCATAAAGTGATACATAGATGATTCGAAAAAGATGTCTTATATGGGTTTGTGTGTTGCTTAACAGCCGTATTGGACCATGACCCCAGTTTTGAAAGTTGGATATGAAAGTAATAGAAAGAAACAATGAATTAATAAAAACTAGTTTTTACTTTAGTTTGGTCCTTTTAATGCACTTTATTGACATTTTCTTTTAGTAGTACACTTTATTGACAATCCAAAGTTTATACTGAATATTATGTATACATGTAAGTAGTAGCTCAGTGTTGAAGTTTGAGAAGCAAAGTAGCAAAAAACTACTTTAATAGGCGTGTATAGAGCTTTCTATCTTGTACATGTTTCATGGACAAAGTGCATCTAGGGAATATGTGGTGTGTGCACTTTAAAATAAATTTCTGATCTTTATGTTATTGGTTTTCAAATTAAAGAGCTAGGCTTCAACTGCAGAAGTGTCACCTAAGGTCAATTGGTTGGCGGCCGGTGGCTGAAGGCGGTAGATGGTCATGTTGGGCTGGTTGGGTGACAGGTGAGGGAAGTGAGAGTGGAAATTTATGTTGAAAGTAAAATAAATAACTTTTTCTTTCTTTTTTTTTAAATTTTAAAATTTTTGAAATTGATTCCACTTTGATGACAACAACAATAATATATCAAACAAGTTTTTGTTTTTAATTTTTTTTTTTTTTAAAGAGAAAAAAAAAGAAGCAGAACATGGAAGGGTATTGTAATTCATGAAACTATAGTCAGGATTTTAGCAGAGGGTATGAAAGAACCGAAATCTCTTACTAGTTTTATACCCTTCGGTTTTCCTTTGATAATCATTAAGTAATAATCAATTATTTTTCTTTCTTTCTGGGTTCAAATTTAAACTTATCTATAAACAAAGAAGTTGATGGTGCCAATCTCGTTGGGATGATCTAGCCCATTGTGATGCCTTTGCACCTCCCTCTTATCTTTATTGATGTAATTCGCTTTGTACTTTGTACTGGTTTTTTCCATCAATAAAGTCTTCTTCTTGCTGTTTCAAAAAAAAAAAAAAAACAAACAAACAAAGAAGTTGAAAATTTTTATTTATTTCAAGGGCTTTCTTTTTGTTATATGGCAGATTTTTTCATATTAGCTTTTATAGTCATGGGACAATAACCATATTGATGGAACATATATATCCTTAATGGAAAGGCCTGATTGACTGGGCCACTGGATGTTTGATTCTCTGGTAAAATTCCTTGGGCCACCATCAATCTATCACAGCTATTATGGGCTCTCTCTGGTGATGTTTTATGGGAATTGAAGCCCTAAAAATTAAAAGAGTAAATATAATATAAAGTTGTTCAAATTATGTTACTCGTTATAGAAAAACCCTGCTATTACTATTTTACGGACCCATTTTAAATAGGGACAATTGCAATAAAATTTTATAAATATAAAATAATTGTAAAAAGATAAAAGTACAAGACTTAATTGCACAATATAATGTATAATTTGATTGTGCTTCTATGACATTGTAATTCTTGTATATTGATGCCATTTTTTTGTAATTTTTCCTTTTAAATAATTCTTCTCCTTTGATAAAAATAAATAAATAATCAGAGTATATCATCCCATCCTAGCCACACTATTCAATGGGTCTGCCTTTTATTTAAAAAACACCAACACACTAATATTCTATAGTGTTAATCACATGTTGTGATTAATATTCGAGACCCCAAATCACATATTACATAAATTTTATCAGCACAACATTACTCTCCCAATTGTTCAAAAAAAAAAATCAACAAGAATTTGATAAAATAAAGTATGTATATCATACATGATAGAACTGAAGGTTATAAATTAAAAATAACATTCGGATCATACTAAAAATTAGAAAATTTAAGAGTCGATTCTGGGTTTTTGGTAATAAGTCCCTCAATTTCAAACTTTATTGTCAAAAGGATAAGATAAAAACATTTAATTCATTAAGGACAAAGTTTAAAATATTTAAAAAAAATATGAAAATAATACCCTCAACTTCTATCATTTTCTTAAATTAGCACAACCACCACCAACCATTGTCTGCCATTACCGACCACCACCGGCCACTGTTGATCACTCCTGCCGGCGACAATTTTTCAGTGATCATTGTTGGTTGGCGAAAATTTTTCGGTGAGATTCTCCAGTGACAGTAAAATTTTACTATTTACTTTAAACATATAAAAAGTGAATTTTTTCCATTGTTATCACTAACCACCACATTTACTATAATAATTACCATTATTCATATAGCTATTAAATGAGAAATCAGTCAGAACCTTGAATTAATAAAGTTAACAGTCAAATTTTACTCTTACAAAGAGTAAAATTTTACTCTATATTAGAGTAAAATTTTACTTTTTCACTATTGAACTTATTAAAATAACATTTTTGTTTGAGATCTCAAAATCAATATTCAAACTGATATTGACAAAAAAAAATGCACTAATACAAA